ACTTGCTATATCATTTATCCACGTTAACAGACTTACTAGTATCCTCATTTCCGTTACCCGACTTGCTGTGGGATCCAAATTCATTTTAACAAACTTGGCCTATTAGCCATGTTTCATATTACAGACTTGTGCAAATGTTCCAGAATCCACGTTAACGACTTGTTAGTGTCCCATATCCGATGTTAACCATACTTGCCATGTCCAGAATCCATGTTAAATAACTTGTATCCTAACATTTTCCCTGTTAACCTAGCTATTTAACTGTCCAGATTCTCGCTGAATGTGGAGAAACAGCTCACAACAATTACCGTGTCTCGCTGGTGGCCAACTCTGTGTTGGCCGCGAGAACAGGGACCCGCTACACACTCCCCTGACGGCCACTGACGGTGGCCCACAGCCGATGACAGGTAAGACTGCTCCAGTCACCAGCTTGACCGTCAGTTCACAGTCCCTGCATGTAGATGTTGTCTTAGTACTTACTATCCCTCTGGATATTAGGTTGGAGCTGTTCACAAAGGAAATACCCGAAAAGTTTTGCAACACGAGCTGCCCGTGAAAATTGCTGGGCTTTCTGTTTGTATAGCGTACGCACGTTGAGAAAACCTGAGAACACTATAACTAGAATGTTTTTGCAGTGGAACCCACAGGGGCATAGAAATAAAAGAAGATGAAAAAACACACATAGAAGGGAGCTAGAGAGTGAGATTACAATGATGATGATATAGGGAGAGCTGCATGAAGTTTGAACTGCGAAGTTTGAACTGGCGTCAGTTGGTTGAGGGCCTATGCTCCATTGGGATTAGAAGGCAGAAGAAGAAAAAAACCTGTCGTATAGCGTGGAATGAGACGGCACAAAACGAAATCGCCATTATTTAAGCTTGGATAATGAAAAAGCTTCAGATCCAAAATGACTCTGGTATGCTTTATCTGTTCCAATCTTTTAGTACCCAGTCAGGGGGCTGATAAGTGAAACAGCCTTTTCCTACTCTTATCAGGCCGAATTTTTTTTGTCAAAATAGCATTTAAGAGGTCAAATTTTATCCTGTTTCTTAGGTTAGATTTGATACATTTACTCCAAATGAAAAAACATATAGAACAACATCTAACCATCTAAATTTCAAAACGCCATCTGAAATGCATGGAAAAAAATCTTAAATCTGGATGTAAAACATCAGAGTGGCAACACTGTCCCGCCCTATGATTTTCGGCTAAGGCACAAAAGTAGAAGAAGGCTGGGCGGATGTTGTCATTGACACGGGCGGTGAAGGTCGACACCTCTTTTGGGGAAACACTGGTGCATACATATACTCGGGGTCCAGTCTTCACATCAAACGGTCACACCGCTTAGCTGCCCACTGATGACAAAAAACTCGTAGAGAGCACGAGCTCCAGCAACATCTATAGACATACTGTTAGGCAGTCTCTCGGGCTGCGAAGTTTCCCCTCCATTGACATCCACTCTCATCTACTCTTCTGCCATTACCTCACGCCGAAGCTGATCGAAATGCAGAATTTTGATGGGCGCCATTTTTTTGTTGGGCAGCGCCATATTTGAGTCGGGAAGTTTAAAAATCCCGGATTATTTGCATGCGCGTTGGGGACTCTTGAAGCTTCATTCAGTTTGCATTAAAGACATTTGTTTTATTTTTTGGCTGCTGTTTATTTAATTATTTCCGGCAGAGGGCGCAGTCAGAAAAACTGATGACGAGCATTTTCTGAAGCGATAATGAGGCAATTGAATGTCTCCAGTGAGAAAGGTTTGTGCTTGGCGATCGTTTAACTTCGCGTGTGACGCTTTAATTTTTTTACCGTTGGGAGGCGATAAATACATTATATAAACATAAGATAAACAGATACATGAACACGGTAAACAAGAATGTACAGTTGGATTTGTAGGACAGTAATTAGCCCAAGTGCTTGGTGTGATATCCTGGGTTGAAATGACCGTCTACCACCTGAGGTTTTATTTGTCATCAGAATACAAGATGTTTGCGGGGTGGGGTCGGCAGAGCCAATTATAATCAGCGCCTGTGATTTTATTGCTGTTTTGGGGCGCAAGCTTAACCTAACACTGCCAAACTTATTTCAAGCATCAACACGCCCTTGATTACTTATCCGAAACACTAGCCAAAACTTTTTTCATCATCACACATGCGTGTACTTACCTAATACTGACCACTTCTTGCAAGCATCAGACACCTGGTACTTACCTAATACGTTCTGACAACTTCTTTGCAAGCATCACCCCTTGGTGACTTACCTAATACTGATCAACGTCTTGCAAGCATCACACCTGGTACTTTAACATCAACTGGCCAACTTCTTGCAAGCATCACCCCTGGTGAGGACCTAGAGCACTGCCAATTTCTTTCGTTGAAGACAGTTATGCCTGTAAGAATAGCCACAACTTATGGATTTTTCCTCTCTAATAGAGTAGCAGAGGTGTCATCTCATTCTCCATCCTTGATCCTCTATACCTCCTCCTTCTCCAAAACTAACACCCCAAACAACACCAACCATCACACACCAAAAAATACAACAAATCAAAAATTAAACCAAAAAAACCAACACACAAATCAGACAAAACACCAATATAACCACACACCAATCAAATATACACCACACAACACAGAGCACAATACCACAAACAAATCACAAAACAAAAAACAAAAAAACAACACAGAACACCGCCACACCCCAAAACACAACACCCCAACACAAAACACAACAAAACCCCCATAAACCAAAAAAAAACTAACCAACACCCAAACAACACAATAACAAACCCACACAACAAACCAAAAAAAAAAAAAAAACCAACCACACACACAAACAATCCCACAAAAAACAAAACAACAACCACAAAAACAACCAACAAACACAAACAAACACAAACAAAACCCACAAACAACAACAACCCCACAAAAAACACACCCCCAAATCCCAAAAAACAACAAAAACAAAACCCCACACACAAAAACAAAAAAACACAACAACAACACAAACCAAAAACAAAACCAACAAAAAACACCACACACAACCAAACCCAAAAAATCCCAACAACCAAAAAAAAAAAACACCACACACATCCACCCACACAACCTAAACCCAACACAAAAAACCAACACCACAAAACCCAACCGACCACACACAAAAAACAACAACACAAACCCAAAAAAAAAAAAAAAAAACATACCCCAAACCCAACAAAAAACCACACCAAAAAACCAACACCACACACACAAACACAAAAAAAACAAGAAAACACACAAAAACAAACAAAACCACACCCACACACACCCCCCCCCAAACAAAACAAACACAAAACCAAAAAAACACCCAAATCACCCACACACCGTAAAACAAACACACAAAACACACCAACACAACAAAAACAAACCAAACCACACAAACCCAAAACCACAACCAACAAACAACCAAAAACAATCACCAAACAACCAAAAACACCAAACACCAAACCACCCCCAACAAACAAACAAAACACCACAACGCCAAAAACCCCACCCACCCCGAACACCCACCACCCCACAACACACAAAAACACACACAAACCAACAAAACAAACACACAACAAACACACCAAACAAACAACCAAACAAAAACAAACCAACACCCCCCCACAAACACACACAACGCACAACCACCAAAAACCACCCAACCACAAAACTAAACAATCACCAACACACAAACCACACAGGACACTTAACCACACAACAAACGACACAACACCAAAACACAAACCACCCAAACAAAACACTCACCCAACACACCACACACCAAACACCACCCCAACAACAACCGCACCAAACAAAAAAAATACCCAAAAACAACCATTCCAAACCACACCCCCACCCCACCACGAAAACACAAAAACCACCATAACCCAAACCAAAAACACAACAAAACACAAACCACAACCACAACACCGGAAAAACAACACAAAAGAAACACACACCAAACCACAACCCAAAACACCAATAAAACACCACAAAAAACAACACCACAAAAAAAACCCCAAAAAACACACCAAAAACAACAACACACACACAAAAACACCAAAACAAAAAAAATCCAAAAAAACAACCAAAACAAAATAAAACACACACACAATACACACAAACCACAACACCCACCCCCAAAAAAACCAAACACAACACACACCAACAACCCACCAAACACACACACAACACCCCAGAACATAAACATGACACAAAACCAACAAACCACGACAACACCAAAACAACACACAACCCATCCACAAACACCAACACAAACACACAAACAAACAACAAACAAACCACACCCACAAAACAAAAACACAAACACCAACCCATAAACACCCAAACACACGACCACACCACCACCCCACAAACAACACAATAAAAAAAAAACCCACACCCAACAAAAAAAAAAAACACCATAACACAAACCCCAAAACAAAAACAACAGCCACACAGCCAACCACCACAAAACAACAAAAACCACAACACCAACACCACACACACAAAAAAACACCAAACAACACACAACACCCCCCAAAAACATCAAAAAACAAAAAACCACAACAAAAAAACAAACAAACACACCAAAAAAACTCACACACAACCAAACCACAAAACAAACACCAAACACACAAACAAAACACACAACAACGCACAATCACACAACATAACAAAAACATCGACCCACCAAAACCCACAAAAACAGAAACACCACCACATCACAACAACAAAACACCAATCACACAACACCACAACAACACACACCCAAAAAACACACACACACAACACAAACCTACCCAATACACCCCCAAACATAAAAACACACACACAACCACCACAAAACAAAAACCCCATACACAAACAAAAAACACCCACAACCACAAACACAACATAAAAAACAATCACCACAAAAAAAAACCAAATCCAACAACCAACCAACCCCCAACCCCACAAACACCAAACCAACACCCAACCAAACCACACAACCACACACACACACACACCACACACAAATCACAACAACCCCACCAAAAACAACAAAAACAAACACAACAAAGAACACCACAAACCACCACACCCACACAACAACATCACCACCACAACCACACACACCACCACCCAACAAAAAACCCACACAAAAAAAAGAACACCACAAGTATAAACAACACACCACACCGACAAAAAACAAACAAAAAACAACAACAACCACACCACACATCACACCCAACACACACGCCACCACACAACCCCACACCCAAACAACACAAAACCCAAACAAAAAACCACAACACCGAACACAACAAAGCCCCCCACCCAAACCATGACCCACACACCACCAGACAAATAAAACCCACGCCACCAAAACACCCAACCCCAACAAAACACTCACACAAACAATCCACCAAACCAAAGCCAAACAACACACACAAAATCAACACAAACCAACAACCCCTCACCAACACCACCACCACCAAATGAAACACACCCACAAAACACACTACCAACACAAACCACACCAAACACCCACCAAAAAAACCACAAACGGATGCCCCCCCAACCAAACACACAACTAACACAAAAAAAACCACCCACAAACCCCACAAAACCCCACAACCAAACCAACACAACACCACAAAAAAACCACCAGAAAACCCACAAAACACCAACAACACCTCCAAACCCACCCAAACCACACAAACAAGACACCACACACAAACCACCACCCACCCAAACCACCAACAACATAACCAACACAAACAACCACACCCAGAACAAACAACCACAACTCACACAAAACTACAACCAAAACACACACCAAAAAACCCAACGCACGACCACAACCAAGCCAAAACACACACACCCCACCAAACAAAAACACATACTAACAACCAAAACACCCCAACAACCAAACACCCGCAAACAAGCCAAACCACAACAAAAAAAACACACACCACCACTACCACTACCCACCACACCACAATCCACCACAAACACCACACCACCACTACTACCACCACTACTACACCACCACCACTACAAACCTACTATCTTGCTACCACCTCTACCCACCAACACTAAACACCACCACCAGACCACCACCACCACCAACCACCACCACACCACTACCACCACTAACACCACCCACCACCAACACCACCCACCAACACCACCACCCACCTCCACCACTACCACTACCACTACTACCACCAACCACCACCACCACCACTACAACCACCACCACTATCACCACCACTACCACCACAACACCACCACCACCACCACTACTACCACCACCACCACCACCACACAAACTAACACACCACCAGTACCAACCACTACCACACCACCAGCTACACTACTCTACCACCACCACCACCACCACCACCACCACCACTACCACCACCACTACCACCACTACCACTACCACCACCACTACCACCACCACCACTACCACCACCACCACTACCACCACCACCACCACCACCACCACTACCACCACCACCACTACCACCACCACCACCACCACCACCACTGCCACCACCACCACCACTAGTACTACTACTACCACAATAGGCGACCGTCAGTGACCAAGGACCAAGGTTTAGCCAACAGTGTCTTTTATGTCTATAAAGTCACATGCAGCATTGGCAGTCTCTGCCACATAGTCCATTTGAATGGTGATTATCGTTCTAAGGATGCTTTCTCTCTCAGACATCTCCTCTCGATAGCTTGCTGCGTTCGGCTTCTTGTAGAATGCAACAGTCCGTCCATCTTTCATTGCCTGTCTCCAAAGGAGAGATATGTCCCAACCAAAGCAGGCGTCTTTGCTTTCAGTAGAAAGTACATAGCTGTCTTTCCTGCTCTGTTAAGTACCCATGTACTGGGGACAAAGTCTCGCCATGATATACCCATGTACTGGGGACAAAGTCTCGCCATGATATACCCATGTACTGGGGACAAAGTCTCGCCATGATATACCCATGTACTGGGGACAAAGTCTCGCCATGATATACCCATGTACTGGGGACAAAGTCTCGCCATGATATACCCATGTACTGGGGACAAAGTCTCGCCATGATATACCCATGTACTGGGGACAAAGTCTCGCCATGATATACCCATGTACTGGGGACAAAGTCTCGCCATGATATACCCATAATGGGATTCATGCAGCGCATGTTGAAAGTATTCAGTCTTTTGTCTTTCTTTTCTGCGTAAAGCAGTTTTATTACTACTGATGCTGCTGCTACTACTACCCCCCCCCCCCCCACTCCCTATATACTATTATTAATCAAACAAAACTTACAGCAAGATGGAAAATAATGTCTGCTCCTCTATACCTCCCATTTATCTATTTTTGAATTAGTTTTCTCTTACATTTTTTTAAAAATTGCAATGTCTTTGATGAGATTTTTAAAACAAATATTCTGTAACACATAAGTTTCTATACTAATTAGAGATCAGACATCCAACCTGCCGTGTTGCGTTGTCGTTCTGATGGGAGTTTTTGAATAAACTTCAGCTGAGAAAATGAACGCTCGGCTCTAAGAGTACAGAAAGTTTCTGTTGTGACCCTCTCTTTGTGATGCACTAAGCACGTACTTATTGAGCTTCATGGCTAATCCTGCCCTGCCTGCCAATACTACTGCTACTAGTTCTGCTGCTACTATGACTGTTGCTACTATTAATTACTACAACAACAACTACTACTACTACTACTAATACTACTACTACTACTACTACTACTACTACTACTACTACTACTACTACTACTACTGCTACTACTACTACTACTACTACTACTACTACTACTACTACTACTACTACTACTACTACTACTACTACTACTGCTGCTGCTGCTACAACAACTACTGCTGATGCTGCTGCTGCTGCTACTGCTTCTGCTACTATACTACTATTACTATCAATGCCTATACCACTACTACCACTACCACACACATACGCATAAATACACGACGCGCGCGCAGACACACAGTGACTACAGATTTCATATGTTTTGTTCTACAACCTTACTGACAGGATTACCAGCACTACCCCGGCAAGTTCACAATCATTGTGCTGTCCTTTGCTACCAATGTGCTGACCTTTTCGTTGACCTTTGTCCCTGACAGCGAATGGGCGACAAAGAAAGGATACAGGAAGATTGGACCGGTGAGTAGAAAGATTAACCAGGTAATAGAAAATGTATTGATTGGCACTCATAGAAAGAAGTAGAAGGATAGAAGAACACACTAGACAGCATAACAATCGAAAGCTATAGTTACCGTGTGGGGAATTGAAACTGTCACCTCAAGATGGCGTGTGCGCCTCACCATGAATACAAGCGCACTAAGATTATGGTCAACTAGGTTTATTTATAGGACTGAGTAGAAAGAAGAGGGAACCGGAAGGTATAGAGACTTAGGCAGACAGAAATATAGAGACAGTCAGGGAAATAGGTGGATTGCTGGACAGCCACACAGGGAAGTAAAGGGGTTGACAGACAGACAGGGAGATAGGTGGATTGATGGACAGCCACACAGGGAAGTAGAGGGGTTGACAGACAGAGAGGGAGATAGGTAGATTGATGGACAGCCACACAGGGAAGTAAAGGGGTTGACAGACAGACAGGGAGATAGGTGGATTGATGGACTGCCACACAGGGAAGTAGAGGGGTTGACAGACAGAGAGGGAGATAGGTGGATTGATGGACAGCCACACAGGAAAGTAGAGGGGTTGACAGACAAACAGGGAGATAGGTGGATTGATGGACAGCCACACAGGGAAGTAAAGGGGTTGACAGACAGACAGGGAGATAGGTGGATTGATGGACAGCCACACAGGGAAGTAGAGGGGTTGACAGACAGAGAGGGAGATAGGTGGATTGATGGACAGCCACACAGGGAAGTAGAGGGGTTGACAGAAAGAGAGGGAGATAGGTGGATTGATGGACAGTCACACAGGGAAGTAGAGGGGTTGGCAGACAGACAGGGAGATAGGTGGATTGATGGACAGCCAGGAAAGTAGAGGGGTTGACAGACAGACAGGGAGATAGGTGGATTGATGGACAGCCACACAGGAAAGTAGAGGGGTTGACAGACAGACAGGGAGATAGGTGGATTGATGGACAGCCACACAGGGAAGTAGAGGGGTTGACAGACAGACAGGGAGATAGAAACATACAAGAGAGAGAGAGAGAGAGAGAGAGAGAGAGAGAGAGAGAGAGAGAGAGAGAGAGAGAGAGAGAGAGAGAGAGAGAGCGGGATAGGTATGTATGCTCCTCGTGTGGGTTCCTGGGCCCTATTATAGGAAAAACAAGAATAGACCCACTGCCTACCCAAAAGCATGTCGTAAGAGTCAACTAACTGGGAGCGTCCTCTTCTGGAACAGGACTGCAGTCCAGAAGAGGACAACCAGAAATTTCTGCCGGAGTTTACAGCCGGCGAACAAGAAGAAGAAGAAGAAGGTATGTTTGTATATTTACAGGTAAATATTACTACTAAGAAAAATTAATGCCGACATTAATGATGTAGAAGAAATAGAAGCAGAAGAATAAGCAGCAGCATGGAGATGGGGTTGGGGGGAAGGGTGCTATTTTACTATCTAATGATTGGCATGATTTTTCTTACTTGTGTGAAAGGTTAACATCACTTTCTACACATATATACCATTGTATCGGTTTCCACAAAGCTAATATCACTTTGTACTCATGTGTACCAAAGTATAAGTGTCCACAAAGTTAACATCACTTTGTACATATGTGTACCATTGTTAAGTCTCCATGAAGTTAACCTCACTTTGTACACATGTGTACTACTATTTCAGTCTACTTCATTTGAATTTCAGCGCCCATGTCCTGAAGCAGTAGCTACCTACCCCTCACAAATGTTATATCTCTGGATGCTCAAGTATGTGCCCATTATTAGTTAATCGTCAACCATGCAGCAGTTACATATAAGTTATATTTTTGAAATCTACAGCAGTTGTGGCATTTTTAATGCATCTGTCTTTACTTTAAGTTTGCAGTATTTAAGATATTTGTACCTGCCTTATCACCAACAGATTCAGAAGATATCACTCTTCTAGGCTCCATTTTGTAATTAGGTTAAAGTACTTACTAAAGTGCTATATGAGTTTTATTTTTAAAATCTGCAACCATTGTAGCGTTTTTTTTAAAATGCAGCTATCATTATTTTAAGTTGACATTATTATCTGTTTAAGACATTTGTTGAGATCACCCCTAGCCTTCAGTAATTTCTTCCATCATCAGGCGACATTGTGAGCATGTGTAGTAATTAGATTTGTATACATACTTCTTCTTCTTCTTCTTCTTCTTCTTCTTCTTCTTCTCATCCACCTTGTACCTCAGTGAAGTGTCGAGGTGAGATGTAATGCTCATTGATGAGCTCTCTCAAGTAAACATACTACAGTACAACTATTACATGAGGTATGTTCCACAGAACAACTATTACACCAGTTATGTTTTACAGTACAACTATTACATGAGTTATGTTCTACAGTACAACTATTACATGAGTAATGTTCTACAGTACAACTATTACACAAGTTATGCTCTACAGTACAACTATTACACAAGTTATGTTCTACAGTACAACTATTACATGAGGTATGTTCTACAGTAAAACTATTACATGAGTTTTGTTCTACAGTAAAACTATTACATGAGTTATGTTCTTCAGTACAACTATTACACGAGTTATGTTCTACAGTACAACTATTACATGAGTTTTGTTCTACAGTAAAACTATTACATGAGTTATGTTCTTTAGTACAACTATTACACGAGTTATGTTATACAGTAAAACTATTACATGAGTTTTGTTCTACAGTACAACTATTACATGAGTTTTGTTCTACGGTACAACTATTACATGAGTTATGTTCTACAGTACAACTATTACATGAGTTATGTTCTACAGTACAATTATTACATGAGTTATGTTTCTGTAATCTTCAACCACTGTAGCTGTGTGGTGAATAATAGCTCTAGATACAGTGATAATTTAGCAATAGACTGGCATCACTTATCACATATTTCCTTCAGCAAATGACAATCTACAGTCTCCCTTTCCTTCAGCAAATGACAATCTAGAGTCTCCCTTTCCTTCAGCAAATGACAATCTAGAGTCTCCCTGTCAAGATATTGCTACACAGATCAGTGCAAACACATTCCTTGGTACTGGTCAATGAGCACAGAAATAAAAACACGCAACACTCAGGTTCTGGAGCAGAACTGCAGTTCAGTAGTGGACGAGCAACCAGAACTTTCCGCCAGAGTGTACAGCTGGTGAACGCGAAGAAGAAAGAAGAATACATCACATTTATACAGCAAGTAAATTCTAATTACTGTAATCACCTTATCTAGGCTGATGATGAGCGGCTTCAGGAGAGAGATCACAGCCGATGACCTTTGGGACTTGAACCCACGTGATCAAGGTCCTCGTTTGAACATGCGTTTTGAGAAAGTCTGGACAGCTGAGATAAACAGAGTTGACAGGATCAATAAAGTGCGTACAACTAGGTAAACATTAATATGTGTTTGTTGTTTTGTATGTGTGGGTGTGAATATACATGTTTGTTTGTGCGCATGTTTGATTGTGCATGTAAGACTAAGGATGAACCCTATTTATGCATAGAGAGCCAAAGAGGACCCCTAAATTATATAGTTTAAGAACCAAGTTACATATTTTCGATTCTCATGTTATTTCTGCTTTACCACATGTCAATGCAAGTTGGAGAAACACTGAATATATGAAATGAAAACAAATGCCTGAAGAAAATGTTGAACATAAAATGGGATGAAATCAGGAGAAGTGAAGAAATAAGAGAAATATCTGGGCAACCACTAGCAGCAACAGTTACAGGACAGACAAAATAGTGCTGTATAGGACAGTACACGTTCTTAGAAGAGACAAACACAAAATTACTATACAGGTACCGAAATGGGAAACACAGGGACTGAGGAAATGGTGACATTTAAGTGAAACACTAAAGCGATCGTGGATGAGAGATGTCAACAGTACTGGGCTGGATTACATCCATGTTATCAAAGTGACTGCACAAGATAGACTGGAATGGAGGAACAGACTGTGAGCTCTATGTGACATGTAACGGCACAACTGTGTAATGAATGAACATATTCCCCGCGTGGGTTCTATTATAAGGAAAACAAGAATAGACCCACTGCCTACCTTAAAGCATGTCGTAAGAGTCTAGTAACTGGGAGCTTCCTTCAAAGTCAAAGTGCATCTGCCTGAGAGGCAAGGAACCATTAGTCTGCATACAAATGAGTCAGATCTATAAAATAGATGCATATGCAACACTCAGGTTCTGGAACAGGACTGCAGTCCAAAAGTGGATAAACAGCCAGAACTTTCCGCCAGAGTTTACAGCTGGTGAACGCGAAGAAGAAGAAGAAGAGTAAACCTTATGTCATATTTTAGCAAGAGCTGTAGAATTTCTATGGTAGAAGCAAAGACGGATCTATACTTCTTATTTATAATAATGATTGTTTCTCTCTTTATCCAGGACAGTAGGCTTGGAGTTATAGTTGAGAGGATCGACTTTATTGCACCATGGTTTTAACCCATAAAGCACAGACTCCAGAGCTACAGTGACAATCCCTGGGGATCTCCGTAAAAATTGCACTCGTGAACTGAATGACGCAGCTTGGAATTGAATCCACGATCTTTAGAGCGCTAGACAAATGGTTTGACCACGAAGACTACCACCCCCCCCCCCCCCCCCCTCCCCACCAGCCCACTTTCCTGCTTCATTGTAGCATGTATTATCAAATGACTTCTTTATTTTCACATGAACTATCACTTTCTCTACTTCGTTATGACTTGAATTATTACTTTCTCTACTTTGTTATGACATGAACTATCACTTTCTCTACTTCATTATGACATGAACTTTGTCTACTTCGTTGTGACATGAATTATTACTTTCTGTGCTTTATTGTGACATAAATTATTACTTTCTATGCTTCATTATGACATGAATTATTACATTCTGTACTTCATTCTAACATGAATTATTACTTTCTGTACTTCATTATGGCATGAGTTATTACATTTTATACTTCATTATGACTTCATCTAATTCATTATGACCAGTCAGACTAGAATTACAAATTTCTTTAAAAGATTAAAGTCGTGTAGATCAACTTCATTTTACCAGCGTTTTTCCTATATGACTCATTCTCTCTGTGCAAACTGACTGCAGTCTGTTGAGAGCATCACCCAAAATACAAACTCTGTAGCTCAGTCAACGATCCCCAGGGATCTGAGCAAAAACTGCACTTATGAAACAAGGACACATTCATGTATTCAAACAACAACCTTCAAAGCGTAAGGTGCGCTGTTTGACCACTTTGCCATGTACCCATCCCCCCAACCCCACTCAACCCCATGGAACAGTCAGAGAGTTGTTTGTATCCAGAAACATGCAAGCTAATATCATTTTTTTGTCACAAGTTTTCAGGCCCAGAGGCAAGAACATGGATTCTCTCAAAACACTCATGAAACAACAGAGAGGGTACAGAATGGCCTGCAACACAACACGTTGGTCCGGGGAAAGGACACATATCTGACCCCTGCTGTCTACTATGGTGGCTCCGATGAAACAACATCCCTTCTTGTGTCTAAAGGATATCAACAACATACGGCTCAGGTAGTAACATATTGTCTAATTATCTATTTATACTGCTCAGGTAGTAACATATTGTCTCATTATCTGTTTATACCGCTCAGGCAGTAACATAATGTCTCATTATCTGTTTATACCGCTCAAGTAGTAACATATTGTCTCATTATCTGTTTATACTGCTCAGGTAGTAACATATTGTCTCATTATCTGTTTATACTGCTCAGGTAGTAACATATTGTCTCATTATTTGTTTATACCGCTCAGGTAGTAACATATATTTACTACACTACACCGTACCTCACTTCACTTTATCTTACTGTACATTACTACACTACACCCTACCTCACTTCACTTTATCTTACTGTACTTTACTACACTACACCCTACCTCACTTCACTTTATCTTACTGTACTTTACTACACTACACCCTACCTCACTTCACTTTATCTTACTGTACTTTACTACACTACACCGTACCTAAGTTCACTTTAACTTACTGTACATTACTACACTACACCGTACCTCACTTCACTTTATCTTACTGTACTTTACTACACTACACCTTACCTCACTTCACTTTATCTTACTGTACATTACTACACTACACCGTACCTCACTTCACTTTATCTTACTGTACATTACTACACTACACCCTACCTCACTTCACTTTATCTTACTGTACTTTACTACACTACACCGTACCTCACTTCACTTTATCTTACTGTACTTTACTACACTACACCGTACCTCACTTCACTTTATCTTACTGTACATTACTACACTACACCGTACCTCACTTCACTTTATCTTACTGTACTTTACTACACTACACCGTACCTCACTTCACTTTATCTTACTGTACATTACTACACTACACCGTACCTCAGTTCACTTTATCTTACTGTACTTTACTACACTACACCCTACCTCACTTCACTTTATCTTACTGTACATTACTACACTACACCGTACCTCAGTTCACTTTATCTTACTGTACTTTACTACACTACACCCTACCTCACTTCACTTTATCTTACTGTACTTTACTACACTACACCTTACCTCACTTCACTTTATCTTACTGTACTTTACTACACTACACCTTACCTCAGTTCACTTTATCTTACTGTACTTTACTACACTACACCTTACCTCAGTTCACTTGATCTTACTGTACTTTATCCTACTGCCTGCACTTTTCTTTTCCCTAATTTATGTCACCTCAGTCTAGTTTTGCACTATTGCACTACAATGTACTTTAATGCACTGTTCTGTACTGTAATTGATGTTTGTCCAGTATTTTACTCTGCTTTACATTACTCTACTACACATTACTGTACTTTACCATACTGTAATATGTTTTATTTTATTTTGGTTTTGAAGATTCTGTCATATGTTTGAATTTGTCTCTGTTTTCATAAATTATTTTTAACCATCGGTTTTATTTTGTAAATCCTATATCACAGACCAAGTCAGCCAGTTTGATCCGAGCTCTGACGTCACTCTTTTGGAAGGACACTGTCATCATATTGGTTCAGAAGATCTTTGCAGATGCTCTCCTGTACTCCAATCCCATGATTCTAGGGTACAGGAAATTTGTTTGTCAATTATGGTTACCTACTGAACTTACAGTTGTACATACAAAAAATATGTATTTCATGTAGATGTTTGATAATAATTTTGTGTGTCTTTTCCTTGGCAACTTATGGATGTGAGTCATTCATTCATTCTCATTCTGTCTTTGTAAAGAAAACCAGAGCTTTTGAAATGAAATGCTACAGAAAGGCTCTTAGAATACGGTGGACCAAGAGAAAGAAAAATGTTGACATCAAGGAGAACTGGCTCATTAACAGCATCTTGTCTCGAAAGCTGAGACATTTTTGACATGTCAAGTGCCATGATGGTCTGGAGAGAACATGGATAGAGGGGCACATTCTGGAAAATGAGGCAGAGGCCAATCTTCAGAAACGTGGATACAGGATGCGAAAGACACATTGGTTATGAAAGGAAATAAGTCTGGAGAAATGGCTAGAGAAAGAAACACTTCAGGAATGCCGTGAGGAGAGTGAAGTAAAGGACACGCTTACTGGTGAGTTGTTTGATCAGAAGTAAAGGATGTACTTACTGATGAGTTGTTTGATCAGAAGTAAAGGATGTACTTACTGATGTGTTGTTTGATCAGAAGTAAAGGATGTACTTACTGATGAGTTGTTTGATCAGAAGTAAAGGATGTACTTACTGATGAGTTGTTTGATCAGAAGTAAAGGACGTACTTACTGATGAGTTGTTTGATCAGAAGTAAAGGATGTACTTACTGATGAGTTGTTTGATCAGAAGTAAAGGATGTACTTACTGATGAGTTGTTTGATCAGAAGTAAAGGATGTACTTACTGATGAGTTGTTTGATCAGAAGTAAAGGACATGCTTACTGATGAGTTGTTTGATCAGAAGTAAAGGATGTACTTACTGATGAGTTGTTTGATCAGAAGTAAAGGATGTACTTACTGATGAGTTGTTTGATCAGAAGTAAAGGATGTACTTACTGATGAGTTGTTTGATCAGAAGTAAAGGAGGTACTTACTGATGAGTTGTTTGATCAGAAGTAAAGGATGTACTTACTGATGAGTTGTTTGATCAGAAGTAAAGGATGTACTTACTGATGAGTTGTTTGATCAGAAGTAAAGGACGAACTTACTGATGAGTTGTTTGATCAGAAGTAAAGGAGGTACTTACTGATGAGTTGTTTGATCAGAAGTAAAGGATGTACTTACTGATAAGTTGTTTGATCAGAAGTAAAGGACGTACTTACTGATGAGTTGTTTGATCAGAAGTAAAGGAGGTACTTACTGGTGAGTTGTTTGATCAGAAGTAAAGGACGTACTTACTGATGAGTTGTTTGATCAGAAGTAAAGGATGTACTTACTGATGAGTTGTTTGATCAGAAGTAAAGGATGTACTTACTGATGAGTTGTTTGATCAAAAGTAAAGGACGTACTTACTGATGAGTTGTTTGATCAGAAGTAAAGGACGTACTTACTGATGAGTTGTTTGATCAGAAGTAAAGGATGTACATACTGATGAGTTGTTTGATCAGAAAATGAAGTGATGGACAAACAAGAGCAAGTTATAGAGCTGTTAACTGTCCTCTGTTTTTCCCAGATATGATTGATGTATACCTTGCAATTTTGACCTACAGAAAAAAATCTTCAGAGTTTCAAACTCTAAGAATAAACTTCTGGACCACTTTAAAATGGAGTAAATTCTCCTGGCCAGCCATGATGGTTAAAAGATGAGGATGATTAATGTTCTGCATAGAAAAGCTGGTAAAAGGGGCAGATCACTCAAAATTTAAAATAGGTTTAATTAACTATTGTAACAGCACACTCAGTGTGACCATGCTGTCTTCACACATAGCAAACAACATATGAACTTCTTAAATTTTAAAAGTGGGCTGTCATGGTGCAGCAGTTAGATGCTCGCCTGTGGATTGGAAGTTTGCGGGTTCAGGTCGTGACCGATCTGGACTTAATTTCACCCAAAAAAAAATGGCTCCCATGTCGACTCAGCCTTAAATGGCTCCCATATCGACTCAGCCTTGAATGGCTCCCATGTCGACTCAGCCTTAAATGGCTCCCATATCGACTCAGCCTTAAACGGCTCCCATATCGACTCAGCCTTAAATGGCTCCCATATCGACTCAGCCTTAAATGGCTCCCATATCGACTCAGCCTTAAATGGCTCCCATATCGACTCAGCTTTAAATGGCGACCAGGTCAACTCAGCCTTAAATGGCGACCAGGTATAGTCCTAGGAAGTAAAAGTGACAGGTATGATGCTGATTACATCACCCAGTGAGTGCTGATTGGTCTATAAAATATATGTCTAGCCCTATGTGCCCAGTACACCTGAAGGTGTGGAAAAGGGTCCTTCACTTGTACTGTGGAGAGTCAGCTTGAAAACCTGTTATTGAAATTGTAATTTAGGATCTGCATATAGACAGCTAAACCAAAACTTTCTGTGTTCTAGAGTTCTCATTGAGAGGCTGCAGTTTCCAGATGAAAGAAAAATCTGGCAGTCTTATGTTCTCAGTCTGGGACTGGTTGTCACTGGTATAGCTAAGACACTATTGTTTGCCCATGCCATGTATCGCAGTGCTCTGCTGGGACTTCACGTGAAAACTGTACTTGTTTCTGCCATTTATAAGAAGGTCAGTTCTGATCACTATTTTATATCGAATGAACAAGCAAACTTTTTTTTTCAAAGGGTTACAAAAATGGGCACACAGACCTGTCTTACATTACATTATAAAAGCTAGGCTAGTTTAGAGAAATGGTAACTTTCATCAGAGCAATAGACTGCATTTTGAGAAAAGGACAACTGGATTATTGCGATGATAGAAAAATGGGATGGAAGAAAAGGTAAGGTTAAATGAACAGAGGTGATGTTGGATAGTTTAGCAATCCTGAAATGAAAGCCATTTCTAGCATTAATGTCTGGCTGTAGAGGAGACACAAGACTGTATGAAATGTGACCAGTGTCATATGACATGGATAGCAAATGTTATGATGATAATAAAAATTAGATGAACAAGATGAAAATTGGGAGAAGGAAAAGAATAAAGTATTAACAGGCAGAAGAGAAAAGAGTTAAGCATGGTGATGCCCGACTTTGCCGTCTTCGGGGCCGAGAAAGGAGACAATATAACCAGCTTCTCATGGGGACAATTAGTAGAAGTACTTTGGAGTGGCTGCTGCTTCGGAGAACTGAGCACACACATGGGTATGCCCAATGTGCAGTTACATCAAGTGTGATAACAAAACATAAAATAACATCTTGTAGGGAGTCGGCAGTCAAAAACCCAAGTTCAAGGTGTCTCCTTCGTGCCAAAGAACTGCATGGCTGTTGGGTGAACAGTCGTTAACGAAGGCAGGCACGTCGTTGTAGGGGCGACGCCTGCTGGTGGATGTAATGACCTAAATCCCTTCCCCAGCTGATAATGAGGGTACTGCTGGGGTGACCGTTTATTAACCCTCATATAATGCTTCAGGTCAAAATGGACGCTAGGCACAGCCACCTTTTTTTTTCTGCCAGATGGTGGCTGTTGCATTTTTGCTCCATTTGTAGACTGGAAGGATATAGTTTCGTCGCCCAGCTTCGGAGTTGAGTGCATGGCGTGACACTGTGAGCTACGTGTGTTTTTTGTTGGCACAGGAGCGGAGCAACTATGGGGTGACCCGTTTGCTATGAAGCTGAAACTAGGATTACCAGATTACCAGAAGAGAAAAGGAAGAAGAAACAGACACACACAATAAAAAAGAAGTTACAGCAGTCAGACAATGAAATAAACCAGTTTGAAAACAAAATGTACACATGCATACTACCATGTAAGGAAATATAAATGTATCGTGACAGTATGTGTGGTTTGACAACTGCATGTATAGATCTTTACCTTATGTTTGGTTTGGTGACAGGATGAAATTATGTCAATAAATCATCTTTGCTTTCCTTTAAAAGTCACTGACAATCTCCAGTTCGGCAAAAAAAGACTCCACGGTCGGGGAAATTGTCAATTTGATGTCTGTTGACTGTCAGAGACTGGAGGTAAGCTAAATAGGTTGTTAGTGTTTCTTAGAAATATCCCATCTTTCACACACTTAGTTGAGTGTTGCTGTTATTAAAGACGAAATATACCATATTTTACATGTTCAGTTGACTGTTTCTGTTGTCAACCCTTTGGAGACAGAGCCTTTTTAGAGTTTCAGTGCCAAAAAGATGGAACCTTCAGGGAAGGATTCTCTTAGTTTACAAACAAAAAATTATAACAAAATAAAGCCCGTAATTAACATGTATAAAACTATATATATTATGGTAGTAAATTAAAAAAACTAACAGTATGTATAAATTAAACTGAAATCTCAACATTTATTCAAAATAACTATTATAATTTGCATAATTTATTAAGTTAATTAAGTTTTAAAAACTTGGAAACAAACACGACTAACCTGAAAAATGTGGGACAACTAATCTAAAAAATGTGGGTTGAATCAGTTCTAAGACTTGTATTTTGGGGAAATAAGGCCCATGGGGGCCGTTCGGACACTTCTGGCACATGGTTCTACTCATTTTTTATGCCTTCTGCTATGTTTCTGTTGCTATGACGCAACAGGCCTTTTCGCCATCGTTGGACACTGGTAACCCCAACTTGAATAAAATCACTGTCAAACTTTCTCGAAAGCTGTCATTAAACAGCCCACATGGGCGACAAATGTGAGAAGCAATCTAATTGGCTGATTTGAAAACCTGCCAGCCAATCTCAAGGCTTGTATTACACAGTGCCGACAGATTGGCACAGTCATCCTTTTGTCTACTTTGTGTTGGGCCGATATTTCAGCCGCATCCACTCCACAGGGTTAAAAGAATATTAGCATCTTTTACACATACAGTTGACTGTTACTGTTGTTAAAAAAAATATTATATCTTTTACAAACATAGTAGATTGTTGCTGTTGCTACTTTTAGCTGTTGCTTTTTTCTACTTTGAATATTTTTCTGAGTAGTTTATATTTATAGCGATAGCTGCAAACCTGTGACATTTTTTTTTTTTTTTTGGTGGCTCCCTGCTGCATGATTGTCCAGACCGTGAGGATCTGTATGTGCTCCGAGGTATCGTGAAGTCACCCAGTCAGCAACAAGGTTATTATCTGTAACATGAAACTGGTCAAAAGACGTTCCACTAGGCCATCAGAGGAATGAGTTTATTTGCTGGCCCCACTAGGAGCCCGACACACAACAGTTTAAGGATAGGAGAAAGACATAAGTACATTCAATGAATCAACGACGTTTGGACTTGTCTCTTACATTTACTGTACGAGACGGCATCTGTTCAGGGCCTCAAGATAAAAACATTGACCCTTTGATGCCCTACACCAAATACTTGTAGATTTCTGCACAGAAACATTGATAAACATTTTCCTCCTGGGGGAATTAGTCACATATTGATCTCTCTCCTCCTCCTCTTCTTCTTTATCTCTCTCAGTTTTTGTGTGGATATGATGTTGGGCTCATGCCACCAGCATGAAAAGGACACTTCACTTGTGAGTTTATTAACTTTTAAGTCATAGTCTACTGGTGCCAAGCTTCCAGAAATTTTCAGTCTTCATCCTCAAACTTAAATACAGAGAGTTTCCCTGGCAATCTGAGGATCTGAGTTTCAGCTTGATATCAAACAGGTGACCCCGTAGTTGCTCTGCTCCTGTGCCAAAAAAAAAAAACACAGAATGTCCATCACTGTCCCTTGTGGAAAAAAATATCACAGACTGCAGTCTCAGCATAGCTACCAGCATACATACGCATTAAAAGCATTAGGTAGCTATCAGAAGTGCCAACACAAACTGTCCAACATTTGAAATGCAGCTGATCATGGACCTGTTACACTGCTCAACATTATTTAACTATTCTTCAATAATTGTATGCCATCTAACAGTTCGGCTGCTCCTGACGACAAGGAAATATTGCACCTTTATTGTGGTTTGAACTCAGGATTACCAGTCTGGCCAGCGTGCGCACTAACCAATAAATTACCAGTACTGTTATCTCACAGTTACACATAAGTTAAGTGGTGACTTCTCTCTATTGCAGGATATAATCACTGGGATCTTCTTTATGTATTCCGCACCAGTTCAGTTTATATTCGCCATTGTGATTCTCTACGTTACAATAGGTAAATAGTGTACATAATTCATGCTCTTTTATTTCTTTCTCCCTGTCTGTTTATATTTCTTTCTTTATCTGCCTCTCTTGTTTCTTTGTTTATCCAGTACATCTCACTCTCTGTCTGTTTATATTTCTTTCTTTCTGTGTCTCTCTTGTTTCTTTGTGCACCCAGTACACCTCACTCTCTGTCTGTCTATATTTCTTTCTTTCTGTGTCTCTTTTGTTTCTTTGTGCACCCAGTACACCTCACTCTCTGTCTGGATCATGTGCACTAACTGCAAGTCTTGTTCTCAATCAAACAAATAGAATAAGTAATCACATTCAACATCTATTTACTTTGATGAACACAAAACTAGCGTGCTTCACAGATAACAGTACATTAACAATCAACAAAATGAGTTGGAACAGACCATGTGCTAATCACTCCAGCTAACAAAGATGAGAATCTTCTCCAGCACAAGGATGTACAATGGAAATCTAGTTCTAACATAAACTAACTACTGAAAGTACCAACAAACACAAAACCAGTGAGCCAGTTCATCTCTCTTGACTCAGTCCGGCATACTTACATTGTATTGAGAACCCTGTACATTTCTGAAACGACAGGAGGACTACATGTCGTTAGGGCAACTGGCAAGAGCAAAGAGCCATTAGAGCCTGCCCCAGGCCTTTTATCAACTTTTTGACCAACTGGCCACCTGCCAGTTTTAGTTAACAAGTGTCGCCAAACCCAAAATATTAACAGGCATAACATATCCCACCAACCTATTACACATTCCACCACTAAATTTGTTGGTATCCTGACAACTAAGCAATAAATAACACTTATTAGCCACCAGCCCCTCTAAGCTTCTGTTCTACATTACACCAAGTTATGAGTCATAGCAAGGGAAAAAATGTTCTCATGACACAACACATATCATTAGTTGCTTGCAGCATCATGAACAAACAACTAAAGTAACTGATGGTGCGACAGTAATCCTGTACACAGTGCCTGTGACAACAATGAAGCTGATGAAGGTAACGATGAAGATGACAGAACTAATGGAAACTGACAGGATGAGCTGTGTGATCTGACAATGATGATGAAGACTTTGAGGAAGACATTCCTAACTGTTGTAAACCAAAGCTTGAGCTGGATAGTGTCTGTACCATGCTGGGTAGCTTCAATGAGGGCCGCACTTTGTGAGCTAACTGCTTGGCCAGGAATGTGCTGATGCTGCTGCTGCTGTAGTGACTGAAATGGCCGATGCTGCTGCTGTTGGGATGTCTATGGTGGCGGCAGCAGATGCTGTTTAATAATTCCATTAGAGGTACCTAAAGCTGAGCAGAAATTATTGAAAGTGTTTGAGGTCTTGGTGTTGCTAGCTCATGTAGAAAATAGTTTTAATACCTCATAATATTCTTTGTTTATGGTATTCTCAAAACTCCTAATTTATTCATAAGGATTAGGAGATAATTCACATCCGTATGTTGCTATACTCAAGATGTATGCTTTCAAAAGGTTGACTCATATTTCCTTGCTGAACTTCTAATTGACTGTTTAAAACACTGTTTTCTGGGATTTTCTGATTAAAAACCTTAAACCTTCAAAAGTACTGAACACATGTTCCACAATGTCATCATCATCATGTGCCCTGCCAACTGGCATAGGCGCTCATGCGTCTCCACAGATCACAATCCCTGGTTGCCTGAAACACCTCTCTTGTTGATATCCCTTCATGCCATGGTTTCAGCACATGCAGCATCATCTCTCTTGGTCTGCCTCTACCCTTTTTTCCACTGATCTTTCCTGTTGTCAAGATGTTCTCCAATGTCTCTATTTTCCTGACATGGCCAAAGAACAGTGTTTGTCTGTTTCTGTTTGTTGTGTATAGAGATCTACTTTCATTAGCCTCTTTCAAGTAATTGTTGTTAGTTACTCTGGCCACCCAAGGTATTTGTAACATTCGTCTCAAAAACAACATCTCTGTTGCTTCCAAATTCTTCTTAATTTCCTCAATGTGTAAGGTGGAAATTTTCCGCTCGTTGTTTTTAATGCGGCAAAGGGAGAGAACTCCCACTAAGCCAACCGAAGCCGTCCCGCTTGCTAGGAGAGCCGACATTTTTACCCCTTGGGTTTCCCAGTCTATTACCCTGACAAATGTTACCTCTGATGATAGTATGTTTTGTGATGCCCTGTCGATGTCTCATCAGGTCCTGCAGTAATCACTGGATTAGTGTTGCTGATAATAACAGTTCCCTTCAATATGTGGATCGGCAAGCAGCAGAAACTGATACAAGACTCCTTGCTCCAGAGAAAGGATCAAAGAATAAAAATTGTCAATGAAATTCTCAACGGAATGAAGGTGAGCAACATATTTCTAAACTGAAATATTCACATTATTCACAGTGCCTGAATATCACATTGTTCACAGTTCCCTATTTTCACATTGTTCACAATAGCATATTTTTATTATTCATAGTGCCGCATTTTCACATTATTCACAAGAATATTGGGGAGTGATAGAATAACCAACAAGATAGATTACACCTGCTTGGGATAGATGAAAATCATACATTGATTAGAGAGAGAGAGAGAGTAGATGTAGAGAGCTGATGTAGGAAGGAATGCACTGGAGAACTTGGTAACAACTGGCAAGATTGATGGGAAAAGAGCGAGGGGACAGCAAAGAGACAAATAGCTGGATGGCTTAGCCATATGGGTTGGGTGAAACAAGAACACGGACCTGATCTGGGATTTTGCTGAACATGATGTATGATGGCAAAACAAGACTACATGTGCTTATCAGCTTGACACATGATGATGATGATGATGGTGGTAATGATGATGCTGATAATGATGGTGATGATGTTGATGGTGATGATGTTGATGATGAAGATGATGAAGATGATGATGATGAAGATGATGATGATGAAGATGATGATGATGATGAAGAAGATGATGATGGTGATGATGATTAAGATGATGATGTTGATGATGAAGATGATGATGTTGATGATGATGATGATGATGATGAAGATAATGATGATGATGAAGATGATGTTGTTGTTGATGATGATGAAGATGAAGATGATGATGAAGATGATGATGGTGAAAATGGTGAACATGATGAATTGATGATGATGATGATGGTTTCATGCTGTCTATAACTCTCACTAAACCTGGCACTACTTATCTGGCTAATATCCTTCTATTACTCCAAAATTTGGAGTCTTAACAAAACAAAAAGAAAGTAGGAGACATTTTTAGATCAGGTGTCACTGCAGGATACGGAGAGAGAGCTGGGCAGTAAAGAACAACCTAACAAACTTTATTTTCAAAGGGTCACAAATTGGGCACGTAGGCCTGTCTTACATTTGTCCCTTCTAAACACTCATCATTCACACAGCAATTGTATTTTATCAATAAAGCATGTTATACTCATGTAATAATATGTATATTATGAATATCAAGGGGGAAAACATGGATTGGTAAATGCATTCGCACACACACAAATGCTCACACACATTCACGCACTCAGTTACACACACACATACATACATACATACATACATACATACATACATACATACATACATACATACATACATACATACATACATACATACATACATACATACATACATACATACATACATACATACATACATACATACATACATACATACATACATACATACACACGTACACACACACGTACAAACACACACACGTGTACACACACAGACACACACAAGCACCTATACAACCACAAATACACATACACACAAGCACCTATACAACCACAAATACACATACATACACAAGCACCTATACAACCACAAACACACATACATACACAAGCACCTATACAACCACAAACACACATACATACACAAGCACCTATACAACCACAAACACACATACATACACAAGCACCTATACAACCACAAACACACATACATACACAAGCACTTATACACCCACAAACACACATACATACACAAGCACCTATACAACCACAAACACACATACATACACAAGCACCTATACAACCACAAACACACATACACACACAAGCACCTATACAACCACAAACACACATACATACACAAGCACCTATACAACCACAAACACACATACACACACAAGCACCTATACAACCACAAACACACATACATACACAAGCACCTATACAACCACAAACACACATACACACACAAGCACCTATACAACCACAAACACACATACATACACAAGCACCTATACAACCACAAACACACATACATACACAACCACCTATACAACCACAAACACACATACACACACAAGCACCTATACAACCACAAACACACATACATACACAAGCACCTATACAACCACAAACACACATACATACACAAGCACCTATACAACCACAAACACACATACATACACAAGCACCTATACAACCACAAACACACATACACACACAAGCACCTATACAACCACAAACACACATACATACACAAGCACCTATACAACCACAAACACACATACATACACAAGCACCTATACAACCACAAACACACATACACACACAAGCACTTATACAACCACAAACACACATACATACACAATACCCATACATACACAAAAACACAACTACACCGACATACAGAACACACTTACATACACATCTATACACAGAAATCCACATATCCACACACATATCCATAAACTTATACAGACCCATCCATGTACATAAACACATACAAAAACTCATACATACACAAACACATGTACACACTCATACAGAGATTAAACGGAGCAAATTGTGAAAGATATAAGGAAAATAGACAACCATTTAACAGTATCACAGAGAAGAACTTCCTGGCTTGGTCACAAAATGAGACCTGGAAGTCTGTAGCTGGAAATACCAGTGGAGACAAATAAGTTCAATGGCAAACTAGGAGTTGAGTTGAGTTGATTCAAGAATCAACATCACAGCACTCGGGGCATTTCCATAAGAGCTCCGTCCCCATCCTCAGCAGCCAGTGAATAGTTCCAATACTAATGGTGCCAGTAGCATTCTGATTAAGCGCCCGTCTTGCCTTTCCTCTGAGCCTCGAGCATCTGCCAGAACCCCTCGTCACTCCCTGCTGCATCAATCTCACCAAGCTGTGGTGATCCATCTGCTCCTCCGCATTGTACACGCTCTCCCACAAGGCACTAACCACGTCTGCCTTATGCATCAGTATTCCACCAAGTTGTGCAGAGCCAGCCAGTCTGTCCACCTGTTCATTTAGGACCACACCTGACTGATTGATTGCTGATTGCGCATGAAGTAGACTGTTGTATTCCCCACAGGTGCTGAAACTGTATGCCTGGGAGGATGAGTTTAAAAGAAAGGTGGAAGCTGTACGTTCAACAGAAATCAAGCAGCTGTACAAGATTGCCTTTCTGAACTTCTGTGCGGGGCTCGGCTGGGGTATGGCGCCATTTTTGGTGAGTATCTAAATTTGTGTGTGGTAAGTGCAACTGCAAACTTCTGGGATTTATTGCTGTTTGTCAGGCTTTTTAAAAATATGTGTTTTTCAAGAATGATGAGGTAATTATTCACAGATAAAACACATATGAAAAACAAATATATTTTAAATTTAATTTTCCTAAAAAGACGCTGAGTTTATATTAAGTTTAATTATGTAAAATCAGCCAAGGGCAGGCTGGTGCCTGAGCAGAGTTGAGAAAAATCACTTTATTGGTCACCTGGTAGTCTTAGCCTTTCCCAATACCTGTCATTGAAATCACCAGATCTTATGTGGGTGAACACCCTGAGGTTTCCTACTGTGACAGCCAGTTTAGAAACTCCTTTAAATATCCATTTAAGATAAATTGTTCTTAAAAATCAACGTAAGGTAAATCACTCCTAAAGATCACCGTAACATAAATCACCTTAAGATAAATCATTTCTGAAGATCTCACTAAGAAAGCATCACCTTAACATAAATCACTTTTGAAGATTGCATTAAGGTGTATGGTTCATGTATTTAATTTTTGAAGATCTTCCTAAAATAAGTCACTCTTGAAGATCACCAAATGATATTCACTCTTTAAAATATCACCTTAAGTTACATCACTCTTGAAAATCACTTTAAAATAAGTCACTCTTTAAGATGATTACTGTAAGCTATACAATCTTTAAAGAACATCATGCTAAGATTAGTTACTCTTGAAGATCACCTTAAGATATAAAGTCAGAACATTATGCAACTTTTACTGTTTGCCAGGTTGGCTTTGTCACTTTTGCAACCTATGTGCTGATGGACAGCAGCAATGTTTTAGATCCTCAGAAAGCCTTCGTGTCTCTGGCGCTGTTCAATCTGATCCGAGTACCCCTCAATTATATCTCGACAATGATCATGAACTCAGTACAGGTAGGAGCCTTTTACTCAAACTATGTTGTAATGAGAATATTTAATGTCTTAATTAGTGTTTTATTAGAAAGTCTTTGATATGAGATGTCTAAGAAGGGCTGCAGGAGCGACTAGAAGAGATAAAATCAGGAATGAGGTCATAAGAGAAAAAGTTGATACCAAACCAATTTTAAGTTGCATACAAAGACAGCAAATCAAATGGTTAGCTCAGTTAAAGAGAATGCCTTGTTACTTCACACCACACAAAGCATACACCAAAAGAGAAGGACATAGATGATGAGGTATACCAAGAACAAGAGGGATGGATAACATCAGAGAAACTCTGCAACAGCAGAATGTGTCTATTGTCAAGGCAGTGAGAAGAGTGAGAAGCAGATTCTTATATCTTCCTTCCTGAAGCAGTAAAAGAGGAAGTGAAGAAGAAGAAGAAGAACTCTATCTTCATCTTCTTCTTTCATTCACTGACTGTAAACTCCAGCAGAAAGCTTTGGTTGTTTGTCCACCTCTGGACTTCAGTCTTGTTCTAGAACTTGAGCATTGCATGCCCATCCGTTTAACAGATCTGACTTAATTATATGCAGACTGTTTGTTCCTTGCCTCTCAGGCAGATGCACTCTGACTTTGAAGGAAGCTCCCAATTAGTGGACTCCTAGGACATGCTTGTTTGGAAGGCAGTGGGTCTGTTCTTGTTTTCCCCACAATAGGGACCCAGAACTCACACGGGAGATAACTCTATGATAACTAGCAGTTTGCAGGATTAGCAAGGTGACACAAAGTTTATTTTAAAAAAATGATTCATCAGAAAGGGTGTTTAAAGGTAAAAGGATAAATTTTGCTTTCGAATTTGGCTATCTTTTTTTCCCCCACGTAGTAGCTTGTCCCCCCATGAAGAAGATAGCACCAGGTACAAATCTTGTAGCTTCAGCAAGAATCCTCAAGAAATTTCTGAACACCTGCATTTACAAACTAAACAACAGTTAACTGGCACTTGATGATACACTGACCAGCATAAACAAATGACACAAGAAACGATGTGAATATCCCAGCTATAAAATTTACAAAATGCAATCATAATGGAAAAAAAGCAGGTAACATTCTAAGTTCAGGATTGTTTTACTTTAGTATTTTTATTTTCATTTTCCAGATTTCAGTTTCAGTCAAGAGAATAAACTTGTTTCTAGTCAAGAAAGATCTGAACCTGAGAAACACAAAAATGGATCCTCACTTGGGTAACATATTCATGGAAACATTTAAATTAGCAGCCATTTTTATACCAGCAAGGGCGGGTATATCTCAACAGATATTTACCATCATCATCGTCTTTTGTGTGTGATGTTACACAGCACATAAGGCTCACAGTCTGTTGTTCCAGTCCATTTCATTGTATGCAATTGTTTCAGTAATATGAATGTAGTCCAGTCTAGCACCTTTGGCCTATCTCATTAGTTTGCCTTAGTTTTCCCAACAGATCAGCAAATGGGGAGATCACTACAGTCAAAATGTAGAGTGCATAACTCTTCATGAGGTTACATGGCGGAGTTGGCCACTAGGGAAGCTAGACATGGGGGAGGGGAGTCCTCATTTCCTCAGTCCATTTGTTTCCCATTTCAGTGTCTGTTAGTGATTCTCTGTTTCTCATCAGAATGTGCGCAGTAGATGATCATCTTCTTGTGTTATAACCTGGACAAGATACAATGTTCAGTAATATTTTTAAAATATTTCACTGGCTAGATTGTTTAGATGAAAAGGCACAGAAGAAATACTCTGCATGGTAAGTCATCTGTTGCACTCACAATTAAACTCTTCAGGTTATCACAGCTTCAGCTCTTGTGTAAAGGTACTTAACTCTCACAGCTCCAAGCAACCTGTGATAGAAGACTGACTCTTTCTTGTGAGTGCTTGACATCTTGGTGTGTGTTCTATAACTGTTTAAGTTTGGTGTGATCACACTAAGGAAATCTGCCTTCTTTAGTGGTCAGTTCAACCTGTGATTGGTTCTCTCTCATATCACCATATATTTGATCAGATCACACTAAAGAAATCTGGCTTTTTTTAGCAGTTAATCCTTCCTTTGTGATTAACTCTTTCTAGTTAAAAAAAAAACGGTTTTTTATTGCATAAGGTACGACTTTATATGGGGTCAAAAGGGGGAGAGGGGCTGGGGGGTTATTGAAGGTTGTTTAGCTAGTGCCGTGGACCAGTGAACTTTGCTGATTATGATGATGTGTTTAATTTTGCCCCAACAAAAAAAACAAAAAAATCCAATTCTTTATCTTCCTGAGGATTTGAACCCCGGTTTCCTACATGAATGCTTGTCATTTTAACCCTTGGGCAGCCACTTAACACTATTTCTTTAACATCCCAGAAATCTTAAATATTTGGGCAGTAATGTAGATAAAGATGGGGGAACTGACAGAGATGTTAAAAAAAGAATACAAAAGCCAGGAGGAGTTTCCATATCACTATGGAATTTATGGAGGTTAAAATAAATTAAAACTATTACAAAACTTAAAAATTGTTTAATTCCAATGCCTAATCAGTACTGTTTACTAAGCAGAAACATGGAGAATGATTAGGACAATTACTAATAAATTTCAAATATTCATTAACTGGTGCCTGTGCAGAACAGAGGGAATGAAAGGGTATGATAGAATCACTCATGTAAAGCTTTGGGAGAGAACTAAACAAGTCCCAATGGACCAAGAGGTGAAGAAAAGACGCTGGCATTGGATAGAACGCACATTGAGAAAACATGAGAACAATTTAACTAGAATGTCTTTGCACTGGAACCCACAGGGGCATAGAAATCAAGGCAGACAAAGAAACACATAGAGAAGGGAGCTAGAGAGGGAAGTTAAAAAGATGGAGAGGACATATGGAGAGCTGCATGCGATAGTGAAAGACAGAACCACTTGGCTTGAGTTGGTTGAGGGGCCCATGCTGCATTGAGGGTTAGAAAGGCAGAAGAAGAAGAAGAACATACGATAAACTCTCATACTATCATGTAATATCTCCACCAATTACCCCCCCCCCCCCCTCCCCTCCAATTTTTTACGTATATTCTCTTGCTAGGTAAGCTGTAAGTGTGTAGCATGTGTATTGCTCAGTCTGTCTCCATAGGTGATTAAAATCCCTCAATATTTCAAAACTTACAGAACATGCCGTCTCCATCCAAAATGGGACATTTACCTGGGACAGAGATGAACCGCCTGTCTTGAAAAAGTAAGTTGTCATTCTTCCCCCCCCCCCAACCACACCTCTCCCCCTTTTTTCCATCTCTCTCTCCTCTCCTTTACTTTTTCTTATGTATTTCATTCAACACTCACTCCACTCGCTCACTCACTCACTCACTCACTCACTCACTCACTCACTCACTCACTCACTCACTCACTCACTCACTCACTCACTCACTCACTCACTCACTCACTCACTCACTCCACTCACTCACTCACTCACTTATTCACTCACTCACTCACTTACTCACTCACTCACTCACTTTTATAACGTGCAAATCATCTTCCCAATGGTGAAGTAATCTCATCTGAAGAAAAATTAATTAAACACATTTAAGATGGGACACTGAGCTCATGTAAGCCAAGGAGTAACTGACCTGTTAAGTCACAACAACAGGAGATACCGAGATGACATCACAAAGATACACAGGCAGACAACATCAACTATCTCCAGGATATACCCTCGCAGAATATACAGTGAAGGAGTAGGACAGAAACTGTTGAAGCTTCATCCCCAGGTACATGTGCAAATCCACAGCCAACTCACTGTGGCTTTAGAACTACTGCCAGAGAGCTGCCAGATTGGATATTCATAATCCAAATGTTTAAAGGAGCTGCAGTGGTCTAGTGGCTAGACACTCACTTGCGGATTCAAAGGTCTGCCTGGGGCTGAAAATGCTTTTAAACATGACTTTGGCACCCAAGCTGGCCCATCCAAAAAACTGGCACCAGTAAAGTCCAGGGAAGTTAAGGTGGCTGGCATGATTTGACCACATCATCCTTTGGAGGTCAGTTGTTATATATGGGTCTAGCCTCATATGCCGGATGCACCACCATATGCACCACTGGATGCACTACTGGATGCACCACCAGATGCGTCACCAGATGCACTACTGGATACACCACCAGATGCACCACCGGATGCACCACTGGATGCACCACCGCCGGAAGCTCCACCAGATGCTCTATCTGATGCTCCACCGGATGCACCACCGGATGCACCACCGGGTGTATCACTGGATGCATGGCTGGATGCTCCACCGGATGCACCACCTGCATTAAATGGGACCTTTACTTCGACTTTTGTGTGAGTATAAAACAAACATTATCATGTACCCTGCGGTAATCCTGGCCAGTCATGTGATTATAGGTAAAGACCACTAAACAGTTACTCTCTCTCAATCTCTCTGACAGCATCAATGAAAACATCCCTGTTGGGAAACTGACTGCCATTGTTGGCCAGGTAGGATCAGGGAAAAGTTCTCTGATTGCGGCAATTCTTGGAGAAATGGAGAAGTTGGCTGGACAAGTGACCATTAAGGTAATTTTCATGTGCACCTGATGGCTTGTCGAACCTCTATTTCACAACATGAACGTATATTCCACCACATGAACCTATATTCCACTACATGAACCTCTATTCCACCACATGAACCTCTATTCCACCACATGAACCTATACTCCACCACATGAACCTATATTCAGCTACATAAACCTCTATTCCACTACATGAACCTCTATTCCACCACACGAACTGATAACTTGACCACTATGAGAAATATCCATATTTTTTTTAGAGCTGGCAGTTTGAATACTTTTGTATAGTACCAACTACTTTTCAACATATTGAGATGTAGTTGTGTAGTATTAGCAGTTAAACCAAAAATAACTTGTTTAACCCTCTAATTATAATTATGTTGTGTGGAATTTGCTATCATTTCAGATAACAGGTACACTAATCTTTTTCCTATTTCATACTGTTTAAATTTTAAAAACATTATATTTTAGATAATTATGATATTCAAATGTAGATCACTATCCTAACAGTTTTTTTTTTAAATAACAAACGGAAATGGTAATGCTTGAATTTGTCTAAAGTGCTACAACTTTGATCTGATGTAGAAGAGAAACAAACATGATCCTGTCTTTGAAGTGTAACTATACATTTGTTTCTTCCACCATTGGTTCTAGGGCAAAGTCGCGTACGTGTCACAGCAAGCATGGATCCAGAATGCTACAGTCAGAGACAACATCCTGTTTGGAAAGAAGTACAAAAAGCAGCGGTATAACCAAGTCATCCAAATCTGTGAGCTGCAGAGAGACCTGGAGATACTAGAAGCCGGAGACCTGACAGAAATTGGGGAGAAGGTAGAGGCTGTTATCCCTGTATGGGTTCCGGGGCAGTGTCATAGGGAAACCAAGAACAGACCCACTGCCTACCCAAAAGCCTGTCGTAAGAGTGGACTAATTGGAAGCTTCCTTCAAAGTCAGAGTGCATCTGCCTGAGAGGCAAGGAACCAGCAGTCTGCATACAAATGAGTCAGATCTGTAAAACAGATGCACACGCAACGCTCAGGTTCTGGAACAGGACTGCAGTCCAGAAGTGGATGAACAACAAGTTTGTCTATGGAATGAGCACTATGTAACTCATATGCCTTTTCTTCACTTCCTATTTTACCACTCCAGTTCTTGAGAAAGATTTCTTCTTCTTCTCATTCACCAGCTGTAAAATCTGGCAGAAAGTTCTGGTTGTTCGACCGGTTCTGGGCTTTAGTTTTATTTTGGAATTTGAATTGTGTGCACACATCTGTTTTACAGATCTGGCTTACTTATATGAAAACTGTTGGCTCTGCACCACTTGGGCTGATGCACTCTTACTTTGGAGAGAAAATCCTTTATTAATCACCTTTTATGACCTGCTTGTTTAGAGAGGTAGTGGCTATCTCCTCGAGGAGAGGCAAATATATTCTTCTGATCCTTGCTCTTTAGCTGCCTTGACTAGGTGTCTCTCTTGTTCTCTCTGTTTCTTCTCTATTTATTTCTCACTACCTTCCACTCCTTCCTCTGTGTGTGTGTGTGTGTGTGTGTGTATTTATGTGTGTGTGTATGCTCGTGCACATTTGCATGTGTGTATGTGTGTGTGTGTGTTTATTCTCACTTCTTTCTCATAACATGTTCATGTTCTCATAACATAGTCTTTCTCATGTCATCTTCCAACTGTAGAAGTAAACTGATCTAAAAATGGGTTGAAGATCATGTTGCATCAAAGTTTAGTTCAGCATAAAGCTTTAAATACATACACTTGTTAACTGCCACAAGTTGCCAGTTTAGTTAAGTCCAAATTATATGTCACAAAAACAGGGCATCAACTTGAGTGGTGGCCAGAAACAGCGAGTCAACCTGGCAAGAGCAGTTTACAGCGATTCAGACATCTATCTCTTTGATGACCCTCTCAGTGCTGTTGATGCTCACGTTGGCAAAGCCATCTTCAAGAATGTTGTCGGTAATTCAGGTGTTCTAGCAAAGAAGGTATTGTATATCTTACTGCTTTCTCAAGATATAAATTTCAGTATTCTTATTCTTTAGCTGCTCTTCTGGGTGGTGAGCTACTTTATTATAAAGAGAACGTGGTAGAGGTTCTGTAAGATAAACATCATCATCGTGTAGCAGGTCCTTTGCAGAATATTGCTCTCATCAAGGTCTGCCTGAAAGAAACTCGGTCTCTCGCCAGCTCTCCCGCCTTATGTACTTTCATACTTAAGGAGTCACTTATATTGTGTGCCCATCTTTGTGCTGGTCGGCCCCTGCCCCTCCTTCCTGGTACCATACCTTCTGTTAGGAAGATAAACTCTGAGGGGAAAACACAGGCAGACTTTAAATTAGGTTGAAACTGGTGCTCTTAGCATGTCAAATCTTTGTTGGCTACTAAGGAAGGAGTGACTCAGTAATTCTTGATTCATTCACTCAGTCATTCATCAAGTATTGGAGCATAGGACCTCAACTAACCAACATTAGGCCTCTCCTGCAGCCCTCTCTATATCTTCCCCATTTGTATTCATAAATGTCTCTAAATTTTCTTCTCCGTGTGTTTTTGGTGTACCTCTATATCTTTTTGTCTGGTGGGTTCCAGTCAAAAGAACATGGCAGTTTAACTATTTTATAGTTCTCTCAGTGTTTATCCTAGAGAGGTGGCAGGCCAAGTAGCTGGAGTTCTGTGTCCTCATGCAAGAGACCCAGGTTTGATCCTTGATAAAGGGTAGAGATTTTTTTTCTGTTGGTAACTGCACTAGACATGCAGGCCTAGATTCTCAGTCTCATGCGTGACTCCCCTCTCCTCTTCCCCCTTCATTGCCGCCATTTGACACCGCCTTAAAAGCGATAAATTCAGACAGCAAAGAGTTTTTTTTTATAATTGTGTACTTGTGTTTGTGTGGGTGGGTGGGAGTGAATGGGTGTGTGTGTGTGAGTGCGTGCGTGTGTGTGGTTGGGTGTGTTTGTGTGTGTGTGGGTTGGTGAGTGGGTGTGTGTGAGTGCATGTGGTTGGGTGTGTTTGTATGTGTGTGAGTTTGTGTGTGTGTGAGTGCATGTGGTTGGGTGTGTTTGTGTGTGTGTGAGTTTGTGTGTGTGTGGGTGGGTGGGTGAGTGTGAGTGCATGCGAATGCGTGTGAGTGCATGTGTATGTGCCCACACAAGTGATTGTTCATGCAAGTGTGTTTCCTGTCCTGAAATAGATGCAAGCATTGAGGAATGTCATCACTCAAATGTGTCCAGAGCATAAATGATTCATTTGAACTCTAGTACCATTTAGCAAGGCTCATTATATAAAATGTGTGTGTGGGTGTGTGTGTGTGGGTGGGTGTGAGTATGTGCGTGTGTGCTTGTGTGCACGCGTGCACACGTGTGTGTACATATGTATATTTGCATCTAAAGAGCCACTGAATACTATTTTAAGCAATCAATTCAAATTTACAAAATGTAGAGAATACACTGCCCTGAATTGCTAAACCTTCCGAAACAAAACAGTTGCATCTATAAATACACTTATATATGTTCTTGTGGCTTCTACAGATGATTACAGGCTCATTTTCTAGGAACACGTTTTCTTTATCAGGTTATTATGTAATCTAATCCATCTTTTTCCCCCCTTTTGATTCTAACATCATCAATTCAACATTGGTACTTCAGCTGTTGTCACGTTTCTCATTTATGTTAGTTAGTTAGTTGGGTTATCCTCATTGCACTTATATCATTTATGTTATTTTAACAGACAGACAGTCAGGTGTCATCTGCACAGTGAAGGTTGGATGTGATGAGTTTTTCAACAATCTTTGTCTTTGGATCTGTTTGTACACTATTAAGTGGCTATTCACCTATCTCTTGATGTCATACCATACTTGTAGTTGTACATTGCTTGACTGCATTAAAAAATATCAGTTGACAGGCATAGATATCTAATACTGAAACGGAAACAAAAATCTCTGTAGACCCCACTTCTAACCCAGATGAGTTGAGCAGGTTACTATTGTTGAAATGACCACTACTGCATATGGTAGTCGCAGTGGTGTAACAGCTAGACGCTCACCTCCGGCCTTAAGGTCTCAGGTTCAAATCTGCATCAAGTAAGATGTTTTCCAAGTTGTCCCAGGCTTAAAGGGGTACCAGGTAAAGACAGGGAAGTGAAGGCGGCCGGCGTGATATTGACCACATCATCAATCAAGTACCAGTTAGTTAGTATTAAAACATGAATCTTTTACGTACTTTTTTCACTACAACATATCAATTATTAATAAAAATTAAATTTGTTAATTTCTCTATATTTTTTAAAAATTTATATTTTCTTTCATTGGCACGAATTATTTACCAAAAATAAATATTTCTAACATTGCTTTATTCTGTTTTGGCAGACGCGGATTTTGGTCACCCATGGAATTCATTGGCTGCCCCAGGTCGACCAGATTTTGGTGATGACCAATGGTTGCATTTCAGAGCGTGGCTCCTATGAACAACTCATCTCACACAATGGGCCTTTTGCTCAGTTTTTACAGATGCATTTGACCGGTGGTGACCACAGTAGTGACCACAGAGAGGACCTCATTGAAGAAGAGGAAGAGGCTGATGAAGAATGTAAATATACTTATCTTTAAAAAAAATTTACACATAAATTTGAGGGATAAAAAAGGTAAAAATTTTACATCTGTGAAAACCCCATATTCGTGCCAGTCCCAAATCTGTGCTGCTCCTAAATTCACTCTAGTCCCATATCTATTTCACATCCATATCCATACTGGTCCTTTATCAATGTTAGGTCCAGATCTATGACAGATTCATATCGGTACTGCTCATATATCTATGCTAGTCCCATGTCAGTCTCAGACTGGGATTTTAGCCTGGGACAGCCTAAAATTTTGGACTGGGTTAGCCTGGGACTTCGGATACATTTTATAAATGTGAAACCTGATGATTTGAATCTATGACAACTAGGCTAGACTGCTAGCTCACTATCCCTTGCACACACATGCTAGAATGTTCCGGTTGCCTTGGATCGTAGAGTGTGTTATTGCTTTGTTTCAGAGTATTATATACTTATGTGTTTTTTTTTAAAATAAAAAATATAAACCAATTTATAAAAATATTACTGTCAAAGAAATGCAAAATGTCTGCTAACAATTCATTTACATTGCAGTACAAGAAGTCAAAAATGCCATAAAAGCAAAAATTGACCAGTTGACGTCAGATGCAGGGAATACATCCGGAGAAGAAACACACAGCGTGACCAGACAGGAAGTTAGACACAGAAGAAGAAACAACAGGTAGAATCATTATTTCCTAATTAATGTACTTCTTGTTGTAGTGAAGTTAGACACAGAAGAAGAAACAACAGGTAGAATCATTATTTCCTAATTAATGTACTTCTTGTTGTAGTGAAGTTAGACACAGAAGAAGAAACAACAGGTAGAATCATTATTTCCTAATTAATGTACTTCTTGTTGTAGTGAAGTTAGACACAGAAGAAGAAACAACAGGTAGAATCATTATTTCCTAATTAATGTACTTCTTGTTGTAGTGAAGTTAGACACAGAAGAAGAAACAACAGGTAGAATCATTATTTCCTAATTAATGTACTTCTTGTTGTAGTGAAGTTAGACACAGAAGAAGAAACAACAGGTAGAATCATTATTTCCTAATTAATGTACTTCTTGTTGTAGTGAAGTTAGACACAGAAGAAGAAACAACAGGTAGAATCATTATTTCCTAATTAATGTACTTCTTGTTGTAGTGAAGTTAGACACAGAAGGAGAAACAACAGGTAGAATCATTATTTCCTAATTAATGTACTTCTTGTTGTAGTGAAGTTAGACACAGAAGAAGAAACAACAGGTAGAATCATTATTTCCTAATTAATGTACTTCTTGTTGTAGTGAAGTTACACACAGAAGAAGAAGCAACAGGTAGAATAAGTCTTTCTAAAGAATGTATTCATAGTCTGGTTGTAGTGAAGTTACACACAGAGGAAGAAGCAACAGGTAGAATTAGTCTTTCTAAAGAATGTATTCATAGTCTTGTTGTAGTGAAGTTACACACAGAGGAAGAAGCAACAGGTAGAATAAGTCTTTCTAAAGAATGTATTCATAGTCTTGCTGTAGTGAAGTTACACACAGAAGAAGAAGCAACAGGTAGAATAAGTCTTTCTAAAGAATGTATTCATAGTCTGGTTGTAGTGAAGTTACACACAGAGGAAGAAGCAACAGGTAGAATAAGTCTTTCTAAAGAATGTATTCATAGTCTTGTTGTAGTGTCTCCAACTATTTCTGCCCCAGATAGATGGTTAATTGATGCATGACAAACTAGATGCTGTAAGAGCCCTTTGGGAGCCAATGAACGATGTGGAGACACAGATAGATTATCGTGGTCTGAAAAGAATGCTGCAGTAACGAGGGACCAGGGATCTGACTGACACTGAAGACACAGGGAAAAATGTGAGATGGACATACAAGCAGAATGTAACTGGTACCATCAGAATTGGAAACTCTTCACTGGCTGATGAAGACGGATCACTTATGGGAATGTCTAGAGTGCTATGCTGTTGGGTCTCAACTCATCATAATGTCTGCTCCCAACAGCTATTATATACTCAGCCATTCTGTTTTAGTTTGTGGAAAGAGCTGGCCTAAATGTCAGTCACCTCATCTCATAAAATTATTTAGGCATTAAAGGCAATCAACAATGAACAAGTCTCAGACATATTAACGAGGGTTTCTTTAGGGTGCATGCTCTGGTGGGAACTGGTGTTTACCTTTGGCATCTCAGTGAGGCATAGCACCTGAATTTGTACTGGTTTTTACAGTCACAATATACCTTTTTGAACATCCTTATGTGATGGCCATCTTGTTGCAGTCAGTATGTGTTGGCACATCTTGTTGCAATCAGTATGTGTTGGTACATCTTGTTGCAATTAGTATGTGTTGGCACACCTTGTTGCAATCAGTATGTGTTGGCACATCTTGTTGCAGTAAATATGTGCTGGCCATCTTGTTGCAGTTGGTATGTGTTGGCACATCTTGTTGCAGTTGGTATGTGTTGGCACATCTTGTTGCAGTCAGTATCTTTCTGAACATCTTTAGGTACCCAGAGGGATCACTTAGCCAGCCCCTTCTGATGCATGAATCACTTGACCTTTCAATGACCCTGACCTCAAACCTGACACAAGTTCATCCAGAGGGTGGGAAATTGATAATCGAAGAGAAGCTGGAGACAGGAAAGGTGAGATTTTAGATCTTTAATAGGAAAACTAAATCTTCTGCCAGAGGCATTTTGTTTGGTTCAGTTACCAAAAAATAAGTATCATCTGGAAAAGAATGGGGAAAAAATAAAACTGAAGGCAATAGTGACATAAGTTTGACTGGCACAGTGACATAGTTTAGCCAAGGGAAACAATTCTGCATGGACTGGCACAGTGTCATAGGTTAGCCAAGGGAAACAGTTCTGCATGGACTGGCACAGTGACATAGGTTAGCCAAGGGAAACAATTCTGCATGGACTGGCACAGTGACATAGGTTAGCCAAGGGAAACAATTCTGCTTGGACTGGCACAGTGACATAGGTTAGCCAAGGGAAACAATTCTGCATGGACTGGCACAGTGTCATAGGTTAGCCAAGGGAAACAATTCTGCATGGACTGGCACAGTGACATAGTTTAGCCAAGGGAAACAATTCTGCTTGGACTGGCACAGTGTAATAGGTTAGCCAAGGGAAACAATTCTGCATGGACTGGCACAGTGACAGAGGTTAGCAAAGGGAAACAATTCTGCGTTGACTGGCACAGTGACATAGGTTAGCCAAGGGAAACAATTCTGCATGGACTGGCACAGTGACATTGGTTAGCCAAGGGAAACAATTCTGCATGGACTGGCACAGTGACATAGGTTAGCCAAGGGAAACAATTCTGCATTGACTGGCACAGTGACATAGGTTAGCCAAGGGAAACTATTCTGCATGGACTGGCACAGTGACATAATAGACTAACATTGGCTTAGTTAATCAAAAACATGAACAGTTATTGTGTAGATAATTTATCACCATGGTGATGTTAAATATACCATTTCATGTTGAAGAAGTTCAAGCCAAACAATATTTAAAACAAGGCAGCTTAAATGCTTGGGAGCAGTGCATCCATCAGCCTTTTAATTTGGGCTTTTATCAACCCAGCAGCTATAGGTACATACATCTTCCTCTTCTTCTTTTCTTCTGCTTTTCTATCCCCCAATGGAGCATAGGCCCTTAACCAACTCCCGCCAAGTCATTCTGTCGATGCCAAATCTTTCTTTTGCTAGTCATGTCTTTTTAAGTGTCTGCCATATCTTTCCTATAATCCTCCCTTATAAATTATCTAAAGTTATAATGACTTTATAGTGCAAAATAGGAAATAATTATTTTAATTTCAACTCATTTTTTTTCTTCAGGTTAAGAAAGATGTATTTATAACATTTGCGAATGCATGTGGTTGCGTTGCTATAACAACAGCCTTTTTGGCCTACGCTGTCAATCAAGGTACGTTTTCACTTTCCTAGGCACTCGCCAATGTCATCTACATGCTAAATCATTGTTTCAAGAAAATCACATTTAAATATTTGTATGATAAAAAGTATCTGAAAGATCAGATTTAGCAAATCAAAATTGTGTAGTTGAGTGAAAAGTAAGACTTCCCTTTGACCTGTTTGGAGCAGGAATTGACATGTTTGTCTCAGGCACGTAGTGAACTGACAAATAACAGCCGTACTTGTGCACTTGAGTGACAATTGTCAAAACTGTGTTAGATGATTTTAGCTTAGCCCCAAGGATATGTGTACACACATGCATGCACATTCACACACGTACACACACATATATTTAACAATTATTACCTAACAAAGATTGTCTTGACACATCTAAAAACCCCAGAACCTGATAGAAAGGTCATCGGTGTAGTGATCATGTTAAACAATCCTTCTTGAGGCCGAGGTATTTGACAAAATGACCTTGACTCCTTGGTCAGTCCATCTGTAACTGGGTCATAGAAAACGATCAAGGAAAATAAGTTTGACTGATATGAAACCAGCCTCATTAGCCAAAGAGTTTTGATTGTTCTATAAAACATTGAGCATGCAGCTTGTGCTCAATGTTTAGATTGTTCTATAAAACATTGAGCATGCAGCTTGTGCTCAATGTTTAGATTGTTCTATAAAACATTGAGCATGCAGCTTGTGCTCAATTCAACTCAAGACTTGGCAAAGAATCCATTTTTATTTTACGTGATGAACATTTTCAGAGAAGTGGCTGGCCAAGTGGTTAGAGCTGTCAAATGGGAGTGCCAGGTTTAATCTTTGGTAACGGCTAGAGATGGTTTCTGTCGTTAAAAAAAAAAAAAAAAAAAAGTAAAGGACCCTTATCTATGCCTTTAGGCGTATAAGGCATATAGGGCTAGACCTATATTTTTATAGACCAATAGGCACAAGATGGGTGATGTGGTCAACATCATGCCGGCTGCCTTTACTTCCCGGGACTGCACCCGGTACCCAATCAAGGCTGGGTCGACCTGGGAGCCAAGGTCATTTTTTAAAATTAGTCCGGCTCTGCCAGGAAGCGAACCCACTACCTTCCGATCTGGGGCGAGCGTCTAGCCGCTCGGCCACGGCAACTCCCTTCTGTCGGCAGAAAAAGTAAAAATCTTAATCTGCACAGTTTGTGGCAACTGTACCAGCTTGCACCTTACACTCCCAGACAGAAGCCCTCCGTGACCTACATTCACCAAGTATTAGATACGGGCAATGAAGACGGGTTTGCTAAACATACATTCTGACACAGTTCTGCTGATTCTGTATAAAAAATGCCACATTCGTTTGTTTAACGTTATAGGTTTCTTGACCTGGTCAAGCTTTTTCCTCACTGAGTGGACAGAAGACGAGTTACTGCTGAATGCTACAACACGCATCACTAGCCAGGGTCAAGCCAGGCTGAACTATTACCTAGGAGTGTATGGAGGCTTCTTCGGCATTACACAGAGTCAGTAGCACATGCTGGGATAAATCTTCTCATTGTATGCTTATGTCTTGGAAACTAAACTAGAAACTAAACACTGGGATAAATCTTCTCATTGTTTGCTTATGTCTTGGAAACTAAACTAGAAAGTAAACAATGTCCATATCTTCTCTTTGTCTTGGAATATGGTATCTGTTTGCTTATGTGCAAACTCTGGTGAAAAGTTTTAGTTTCTTGGTCCACAGCTAGGCTTTACTCTTGTTCCAGAACTTGAGTTTTGAATGCACATCTATTT